TTGTTTATGTGAATTCCTCCCAGCCGACTTGCTGCTGGTTTTGCTACTGTATGTTTCACTCACAGTGGTTCAATAAAAAGACAAACAAACAAACAAACAAACAAACAAACAAAAAAAGACAATAAACAGAAGGCGCGTCACTTATTGGTGCATTAATGTGTAGCTGTTAAGTGGCATTTTTGTACTTCTAAAGCTAATTGTAAGTATTTTATAAACTGTTGGTAGTTTTCATTATGTTTCACAAGTTTGTCATGTGTTTTGTATGTAAAATCTTAATCTTTAAAGTATTTAAGTAGCTAAAATAGCATACAATGTAAATACTAAAGTAAAATACAAACTGTTACTTAAGTTCAGTACTTGATTTACTGTACTACTGTCCACCACTGGTGTTCACATATAATCTTATCAGCAATGGAATGATTTTATAAGTTTATAATAGGTCAATAGTTGTTGCTCACAGTATTTAGACTTGTTATAGCAGGGTAATCACAGGTTTAACTAATAATATTAATGAGGAATCTGTTCCATCTACTGTAGGTAAGCATCAGTCATTATTAGTTACACCTGTGTTTGACAAATTAAAATGTCAGAGAAAAGTGCATTCAGAGAGATGAAGATGCTGAACCTTTATGCAACTGTGTTTTACTATTTTCTGTTTTGAGTGAATATGACAGCAAGAATTACTTTTTTTGTAAGTAAGTGAGTAAAACTTTATTTATATGTCACCTTTTTAACACAACAGCTGTTTTATTAGATTTCCCTACAGATCAGAAGGAATGTCTTTTAGAAGTGAGCCTCTAGCTAAAGGCTCCCTGATTTAAAAAAAAAACCTTGAAATAATGGACTACAGAGGAGTGACAATTACAGGAAAAAAAACATTAAATCCACCATTTGAAGAGTTCCACTCCAAATTGGAAACTTCTACTTCTTACTAATTGGTATTCTAGGAACCTTTGTAATGTCTAACAATTGACTGGTCGATCAAACTCAGGTTAGGTTCATTAGTCTGAGAAGTCCCAGTTCTTGTAGATTACTGACCCTGCCAAAGAATCCCTGAGCGAGACACTGCTGATCCTACTGCACAGTAAATCTAAAGTGTTATGAGTAAAACTGATGGTATGCCTGTGTTTTTTTAGGTAGGTTTATATTTTTGTACTATCCCTGTGATTTTGATCTTTTTTAGTGATGGAATGTAACAAAATTTCCAATTTGAGGTACTTTACAAAGAGTATTTCCATTTTTATGCAACTACTTCACTCCACTACATCTCAGAGGCAAATATTTTTCTTTTTGCTCTTCTACATTTGGACAGCTTTAGTTACTTTTCAGATTACACTTTGTCATACCTTTCCTATTCAGTAAAAACTGCTATCTTTAAGTGCAATAAGAAGAATATTCAAGGAATATGCAACAATGAAATGTAAAATAAAGTTTTATTAAGAGGCAGACAATTAACATACTTTGCAGAAATTATGTTTTGCAATGAAAGTCTACCTTTGAATCCTCTTTTTTTTTACTTTTTTCACACACAGTGCTCCAAACATTCACATGCCACCTGCTGCACCTCCCCATGCACCTCCTTTATGTCCTCCATGCCAAGCACCACCCCTCTGGGCACACCTCTTCCTTCTGCCACCCCTTCCACCTCTGAAGGACCCAGCACCCGGTTCCACACCCTGAACCCTGCCACCTGCCCAGCAAAACCCTCTGCAGGGTCAAACCCTCCCCCAACGGTGTCCTGCTCCTGCCCAAGCACCACTGATCCCCCTCCGGGAATCTCCCAGCCCTTCCTGAAGTTGGAGCCTGAGGAGGCGAGGCGCCGGTCAATGTAGTGCCAGAAACGACCCTGGATGGAGGACCACACGACGCAGACATGGTGCCAGCGGGCATCCAGCAGCAACGACACAGGGAGACGACGATAGACAGGGTCTCCAATGACGAAGTCAAGGGAGGGGGAGGAAGAGGGGTTGGAAGATGAGGAAGAAGCAGAGAAGGATCCAGATGAGGCAGATGAATTGCATCCATACAGAACTAACTGGTTGTCATTGACGTCTGTGGCATAAGAGAGCAGTGTGCCGACATGTGAGGCCTCCACAAGGAGCCACAAACACACGGAGAGCTCAGGAAGGTCTGGGAGAGTCGTGGAGAAGGTGACATAGTTCTCCTCTGAGGCCGAGGGGAAGAACAGCATGGAGTCCACATTACAGACTGCAGACAGGGAGAGAGAGAAGATACAGTATGTGCTAACATGTAAAAAAAGAGACATATCTCACCCTTTGTTAAATACAGTATACTTAGAGACGACATAGGAGAAAGATTTACCTACAACCAGGCTGTTGTCTTGACTTAAAGTTAATAAAATATTAGTCAACAGTTACATTAAACCAGACTAAACCGTATAAATGATTGTGAATAGTAAAGCTAAAATTATTTTTATTTAATGCAGCATCCAACCCATCAAACACAGCACCTGTTGTAGAGGTTCTAACTGTTACTTACTGGTTGCATCCTTTTTGGGAACTGGTCTTACAGGGATCTTTTGCCTCACAGGAAGCTGGAGGAGGTTGTGGATTACTGAAGACTTCACCTTTGTGTCCCTTTCTTCCTCCTCTCCATCCCACCTGCTCGCCCTGGGCTGATAAGATGAAGGCTGAGGGAGAGCATCTGAAGCCTGGGGCTGTGGAGCCTCCAGTCTGGTCCTGTTCTGTCTGTTTGTGGTGGGTGCAGGATGGGTTGGAGCCTGGGACAAGGGCTGGAGCCTCAAGGGGCGACTGAGGTCATGTGACTGGAGGTGTCTCTGATGATAAAACTGAGGCTGGGACTGCCGTTGGACCTGGGGCTGGGCGTGAAGAGAAGGCACAGTCTGCTGTGTATGGAGCTTCTCCTGCTGGATCGGGTAAGGCCTTGTCTGAGTCTGCACCTGGATCTCTGACTGGGGACGGTAAGGGGCATGCTGGGGCAGATAATCTGTGGACTGGAAGGTAGGATTTGGATACTGGACTATCTGTGGATGATATTTTGGCTGAGGTCTTCTTCTCTGGGCCTTTGAATGTTTAGGCTGATTTGGTGTTGCCTGGTACTGGTGGGGCTGTGGGGGGCTTCTGCTCTGAGCTATGGTCTGTGAATGATTATCAGTCTGGGAATAAGTGATACCCTCTGGTCTGGGTTGGGTTTGTCCACCCAGAATCCTTCCAGGCCTCCCTCCTCTATGTGTTTGGCTTCTCCTGCGTGGTTCATAGAATTCCTGGGGTGTGATGTTGGAGCTGAGCGGCTCTCCTGCCCTCCACAACCCTCTGGGTTTCCCTCCTCCATTCCACTGCAGGACCTCCCCGAGCCAACCCTCGAGCCGGGTCACACGCAGTGCCTGGTTTTTCAAGGAATCCTGCAACCCTTTCAACCCAACAAGCAGCTCATCACGCTGGACCTGGAGGGCGGCCAGCCTCTCCTCTTGGCTCTGGAGTTCTAGGGTGAGGTTGGAAAAGTCCTGACCAGGATCAGGCATCTGCTTCTGGGCATGGCGGCGGTTCTCCCTGACGGTCCTCTCCACCAAAGCCAGACGACCCTCCATCCGCTTGCTCTTCTTCTCAAGCTTCCTACTCCACTCTCTGGGATAATAATCAACATGAGAAAACTTTAAATTGTAAAATGTAAACTGCATTGTCAAAGTCGGTAATGTTGACTTTAATAAATATTTGTAAAAACCCACAGACAGATGTAAAGTACAGGTGATGTTCATGAACAAAAGGCAGGTTTCAGCCCAATTGCAATGAAATGCGGTTTTAAATGTATGTCAACAGGTAAGATCTTATAGATATTATAGGTTAGATATAGAAAATATAGTATATTTGCATTGAATAAGAAGAAATGTGTCCAGTCAAAATCTGTCCTGTTAATCATCGATTCCCAAACACCCAAAAGAACAGATGCTAAAAGGAAAAGCCACCCACTCAACAATCCTTTTTAAAGTTTGAGTATGACTTTAAATTCTATCCTTTTTTCTTTCTTTATGAAGATCTAATTTCTATAATTTTCTGAGCTGGACTACAGTAAATTGCCCTTCCTCCTCTTGTTCAGTCTACTCTCTTTCCATGATGCTTTTATTTGCCAAACACAATCAGTAGGGATTTGTCAAACATATATCAGCCCACACATATATTTACAGTTGACCTTTAATATTTTTTCCCAAGCTCTAACCTGAGACCTTCTATTTCCTGAGTTGTGCTCTGCTTGAGGTGTTCAAGGTCCTCTGACATGTGGTGCCAGTGGTCACTCAAGGCCTGAACACGGCTCCCTAGCCCCCCCGAGGAGTTTCTGTTCTGGTTCAGGGCCAACATGTCCAATCGGGCCTGGGTCAGTGCCTGGAACTGCTGGAACTAATAGAAAAGAAATTTCTTTTGACAAGCCTTTCTGCAGCTGTTTGGTGACTGATTTAAAGGTCAGGAACATTCTCAAAATCTCCAAGAGAAGGACAAAAAACACATACATAACATGTCTGTGATGACTTTTCCTCTTGAACAATTACCATTGTTACAATAGTTCTCCCACCATTTCAGCTACTTGCAGTACTTTTACAAAATGACTAATAACATATCTGCTGTACAAAGGTAGGACAGAAACTGTGAAGTTAAGGAAAAGAGATTTGAAGCTAAAAGTCCTAAACTGTGTAACAGATGTATAAGATGTAAAACCCTAATTTTATGCCTTTGGGAGCCATTCTTCCAAATAGGTGCCTTTTCCATCCCTGAACACTATCTGTATAATACATTATATTATCATGCAATATGTCTTGTGCTTTGTTCTAATTGTAATTTGAAGAAAAATGTTAATAAACACTGCTTTCACGCTGACAAAATTGGATTTCCCCCCCATACTTCACCTGGAAATATAATGATCTGAATCTTATTGTTTTTGTATCAATGTGTGACTCCATTTCCACCCTGATACATTCACGCCTTTGGGAAATTTGGGACGTTTGGCAAGTCAGACAATCAACAAGAAGAAGCATCATCTGAGTGGTCTGAGGGCCATGGGAAGTATGACATTCAGTCTTAAGTCCAGTCCTGTTACTTAAATAATCGTATGCTATTATGTTTGTCCTTTTAGAAGATAGTTTTAGTTAGAAGACTCTTATGTCAGAGGCTGCAGAGATGGCATTCACTGCTACTCTGCTAAGGCGAGATAGCTTTATTAATCATATCATCATCATCATAAGCTCAGTTACTAGGATATTGGATCATCAAAGTTGAATTTTCAATCACAGGAAACAAAAAAGTTGTTAAATCAACTTTAGCTATAAGGCTATCTCATCAGCTAGCTTTATATACATACTGTAAGCCATACTGTAAGGGTGGCGAAGTCATAACCCACTCTACTGATTGGCTAGAACTAGTTGCCTTAATTGGTTAGGTTTAGGCATGAGGCGTAAGATTGGTCATGACTTCACAATCCCGAGAAAAACGTATCACTAGGTTACATATGCATCTATAGACCCCAAAAGATTTTATCATCATATGTCATAATAATATTTCAGTTTTAGTGAGACCCTAGTCCCATCCTAGGTTTTCAAAATGGAAAATAAACTTAGAGTTATGTGACCGTTACCAAGGGTTAGTGCAGCAAAGTTGCAGCCTAATTTCAGATTTGCATGTGAATGTGGAATGCACTTCACTTTACACTTCTATTATAAAACTATTATATTTGCATATAAACATATATTAGGTCATTGAAAAACATTTAGGAAACCCAGCAGTGGCAAGGGGTCACATTTATTCTGAAGGATGAGTCAGATAATTAGTTATAAAAAACCTCTTTAAGGTTGATGTAGCACTAACTGTTTGAAAAAACACAAATATGATAACAACATAACTATCCTGTGAATGTAATTATAGAGTTAGCTTTATGTACACACACACACACAGAGTCAAACTGACCTGCTCGTTGAGTCGTCGTAGTTTCTGGGACACAGGATCAACTGCCTGCCCTTTAACAGACTGAATTTGCAGCAGAAGCATGTGGACCAGGATCAGTGGCCAGTGGCCAGGCCTGAGGCTGCCCATGGTGCGATGGAGTTGGGATAGATGCAGCCGGGAGCCTGGGTCCCTGTCTGGATATCTGGAGGTGAAGGAACAAATAGAGGAGAAAAAGACATAGCTGAAAAGGGATGGTCTTGATACACACTGTATACACACAATAACCACGCATGCACACACACAATACACAAAAGCACACCCACAAGCTGGAACACACTTTCCATTTTTCCACAACTTCATTGGGGACCTCAGAGGAAATGCAGATGGATTTAACAGGTAGTGTCTCTGCCTCTCTCTCACTCTCCTACAAATGAACACAAGAAAAGAGAAGTAAACTGCTCGAAACAATCTACCAACGAACGTCCAGTGTTTATTAAACTGTAGAATAATGGAAGCTGATTTATAAACGCTGTTTAGGGATATTAAAGTGCTGGGAATGATGTTGCTCTGTTTTTTCTCCACTACAATCCCACATTAAATTTGTTTAACTGGATCTTCCATTGATAACATTTTCATTCATGACCTTCCTGTCGGACAAATGATTACTGTTCAACCAGCAAAACTAGTAAAGGGGAACTTCTGATAGACATTTTTTCAATATGACACATTATTTAGTAAACCAAAACAGCTGATATGGTTTTACTGGTTACAGAAAAACACAGTGCATGCTTTTAATTGTTCTTGTGTGTATGTGTGGTGATGCTGCAGCTGTAAATCCCATGATGTGTGGGCTGGTGGAGAAGCAGCCTGTACTTTCCTCTTTCCCCAACCCAACTGGCAGGGGATCTGGCTCTCTTCTTCTTCTGCTTTCTCTCTGACTGACCCAATCCAGGAATAATGCTGTTTATCCCTCCCTTCTGCTTTCTGCTCATGGTCAGGTTGCAACACTGTGGCTTCATTTACACTGGGCTTTAAAAGTTGTACCGACTGCACAAATATGACCAAGTTCTTTTTCTACAAGTCAGTGTAGATGCATTTTATTCTGTCAATAGACTATATTATGGGTCAGTATTCAGTGACAGTTTTCCTTCTACAAAATGTATAATCATTCATTAGTTTTATTTCAGGTAAGGCATGGGATTAGAATGTCAAAAAGTCTTTAAATTTTAAAGTTTTACTTTAAAAAGTTAAAATCATTGCTAAGCCTAGTATTCAAATCACTCAATAATTCACACAACAAATTGCAGATCAGTTTCAGCTGTGAAAGTCCAGTGTAAACACAGTTTCCTGTTTCACTTTCATTATGACCATTTAACCTGTGACCTCTCTCTCTTGTTTTCAGTCAGTCAGCCTCCAAAACTTAACCACACGTTGTCCACAGGAGGATCAAGTCTATCAGTTGAATGGAGTAGAAGTAGATTTGAGATATGTTTTTTTTAGGATTATATTTTTAACCAGTTTGGTTGCATTTTTCTTCCTCGTCCGTAAAGAAAGAGCGCCTTTGGTGGAGGACTGATTGGAGCTTACTGGACTGGATCTTTTCCTCTTGCAGTATTTTTCAGAGGGCAGCATTTTTTTTTACTTCAGTATTATTCCTTCCTTCGAGAGGAGAACAAACATTACAGATCCTGAAGCAGATTGAATAAATCAGACACCTTTGATAAAGGAGAGCAGACATGGATGAAGAGACTCCCCTGCTGAACACAAGACCAACATCACCTGAATCCAAGGTTGGAAACATTTCACTCATTTGAATTGATCTTAAAATCTCATCAGTAGCTTATAGATTTACTATGTGTTTTACTATGTGAACAAAACTGTAAATTCTCCATCACTTGTTTAGGGATTACAGTCTAATTTATTGTGCCTGTTTCAGACTGGTTTTTAGTGTTGATTTTGCTTAGATTAGTCTAGTTAGGTAACAGTTTAATCAACAAAAACATGTTTAAAGCCTAAAAGGTTAGCCTCCCTAATCCCAGACTATTTCAGAGCTAAGAGCCATGTTTCCATGATAACAATCACTGACACTTGTTGGATCACCCACACCAAAAGACAAAAGAAGAAGTTGGCTCATCATTTTCAGTTTTTTAACAATGTCGTGGTGCAAGTAACCGGTTGTACAAAGTCAACTTGGCTGACGACTGAGCAGAAGCATTGAGCCCTGTCACATTATGAAGCCACAGCATGTGAGCTCTGCTACAGGTCTGCACTGCACCGAGACTTTATACAACTGGATGTTTTTTGTTTTATTTACACTCCTGTAAAATGTCCTGTAACTGTTGAATTTAATAAACAATCATAATCTATGTTGGTGAAACCAGGCGCAGAGAGTTCAAGAAGGTGATAGCAGGCAGACTCAAGGACATTATCAAAGACTGAAAGAAGGTGGCTTGTTAACACGGTGCAATCATGATACACATGTAACTCAAAAGCTCAACCCATCAACTTGAAGTGTGACTCATGCTCATGTGCACACAGCTATGGACATCCTTCCCTCCTAACTAACCAACAATAACTCCTGTAAATAGGTCCTACAATCACTTAAGCCTTCAGCGGCGTCCATCACACCTTAAAAAGGTAGATGATAAATATTACCACGTACGTTAGCCAGCCAGGCCTTCAACAATCCTCACCACTTTGCCAAGAAAGCTCTAAGATCATTACAAAAAAACTAAACAAAACATTAAACCTAGTAACTGTTACTGCATAAAAGCAGGAAGTGTTTCTCAGTTTGGTAAGTCTGCATAGTAAGTGCTTGTTAAAAATGCCAATCGGAACTGACTCACGGGAAAACAGAATTTAGAAGTGATGTGCAGACAGTTTAAATACTGCACTTACAGAAGGCATTGTGCCTGAAACAGAAGCTTCCAGTGAGTAAAACTGAACTAAAGTAACCTGCCTAAAGTCAATTCAAACATATTGCAGCTGTTCCTCTTTTTTTATCCTGGTAAAATATTGGTACCAAGTACTTCCCAGAGATCACCTGTCCTCATGCAGGCAATCCTGTGATAAGCTCATTTAGGGATTTTCCGCGAGTTAAGTCGAACCAGAAATAAAAAACAAACATTACTTTTGTGTACTAGAAGACCTCACTACAGGTAGTAAGTGTATATTCTTGTATAATCTATTTAATGTATTTATATTTTGAAGAGAAAGCTGTGACTAGATCCCAAACTTCCCTTTAATCTGAATTCCGTCACTTGAATTGCACCTACATTAGCTCTGAATAATAAATAATTAAAGAAAAAAAAATTATAATTATGTAGGTATGCAGTTTATCCTCTGAGTTTTAACTTGTCCACATCCTTCTACTCCAGATCAACAACTCCAAACTGTTCCTGGCCGTCTTCTCGGCCGTCTTGGGGAACTTCAACTTCGGTTACTCCCTGGTCTACTCATCTCCGGTTCTGCCAAAGCTCCAGAGCCCCGATGCCGACCCCCGGCTCAGGATGGACACGGAGCAGGCTGCCTGGTTCGGTTCAATCTACACACTGGGTGCAGCAGCCGGAGGGCTGGGGGCCATGCTGCTCAACGACATGATTGGACGGAAGTTAAGCATCATGACGTCAGCAGTGCCATCAACTATTGGGTGGGTCTCAGTAACCAACATACACCCACCAAACTGTGGTGGAATGTATCTGAGTACATTAACTCACTTGTATTTAAGTAGTTCTATGTTATGCTGCTTCCACTCCACTACATTTCAGAGGGAAATATGGTATTTTGTACTTCACTATATTTATTGAACAGCTAATGAGTAACTACACCCACACAGGTATGTTTACACTGGCTGATTAGATCTCTAGTCAAGTGGAGGTATTCTGGGAAAGACATGCCATCTAATTCTATGAAGGAATACAAACAGGGTGTCTCGCCCTAACATAGCAGAAGGGTGAGGGAGATCAATCAAGTGCAGTACTTTGCAGTGAGAGGAGGTCTAATTAGGCAACATAAGTGAAATCACATTTGTGAATGGACAGCTTTAATTTACATAAAAAAATAAATGATCACAAAAATATTGTGCATTATTGTTGATAATACTAAATAGTATAATTAGGTAGAATATGTGAAGAGCTACAGCATTATTGGAATTTTTTCTGATAATACTTACTTTTAATTACTACACATACTTTAAATGCAGGACTTTTAATTGTAACAAGAGTATTATTACACGGTAGCATTGCTACTTTTTACTTAAGTAAAGTATCTGAATACTTCTTTAATGACTTTCTTATAGGTAGCTAATAGGATATGGTGCACTAAGCTGTAGGAGACATACGCACCCACTCAGAAAAATGCTTCTTATATATAATATATATATATGAAATCAAATCACTTAAATATTGTCCTCGTCCTACTATTTCCCTGTATATCATGCTTTATAACTGTGTCCATCATGAGAAAACAGAGAAACAACTGCATGCTGCATACATACATGAAATTGATTTGCAAAAGGAGATTTAGTAATGGTACCTTATGGCAAAACTTTAAATACACTGAAATGTGCTTGATTTAAAAATTACCATCTGTATATGTGTCTTAGATACATGCTGATGGGAGGGGCTGTGAACCTGTGGATGCTCCATGTGGGCCGTTTCCTCACAGGCGTTGCTGGAGGGATGACAGCAGCGTCCATTCCTGTAGGTTACCATGGTTACAGAAACTTTTCTTAACCCATTTATGCAAGTTTTCCCCTCTTTTGTCCCACAAAAGCCCCTTGTTCTTTGTGCTTTTAAATCACAGATTTTGATATGACAATTTGAATGTTTTCAATTGTATATTACTCTCATAGGTTGTTATTCCTAAATTCATACTACATCTGTTTATGTGTCTGTTTGTGTGTTTTTTGTGTGTATATCACAGGTTTACATCTCAGAGATCTCCCACAAAGGAGTGAGAGGGGCTCTGGGCTCATGCCCTCAGATCACTGCTGTGTTTGGGGCCCTGGCACTCTATGCCCTGGGTAGGAAACATACGGATACTGCTGCATAAATACTAATGTACAATAAGATGTAAACTGCAACTTGACTGGCTGGTGGAGGCATACAACTACAGTGTGGTAATCGTAGTTTATATATTAACCTGAAACTCTTAAGCAGTTAACAATTCCTGAAAATATAGGTTCAGTATTGCATTTTTCACCATGCTCTTACTCTTACTGTCTCTTACTCATAGGTCTGGTCGTACCATGGCGGTGGCTGGCAGTGGCGGGAGAGCTGCCGGCTGTGCTGATGGTTGTGCTGCTGGCGTTCATGCCCTGCTCCCCCAGGAGGCTCATCTCTCTGGGCAGAGAGCAGCAGGCTGAAAAGGCCCTCCGCTGGCTGAGGGGAAAACACTACGACACACAAATCGAGCTCAGTGCCATACAGGTAGCATATAACATAACTGCTATAATGTGTTTTTAACAACTTAAAGGGGGAGGTTAAGTGGAAAACTGGGCTCAGGTAAGTTTAAAGGATGAGACAGATGAGGTTTTAAGGTGGTAAAATTATACTCACACATTGACTACAGTGGTAGACATGCTAAAGGACCTTTCATTAAATTTTCTTTTAATAAATACAAAGTATTGTACACCGTATGTTTATGTGTTTATGTGTGCCTCCCAATACAGCACAGCATCAACACACGGGGTAAAGTCACATGGTCGCAGCTGGCCACACCCCTCTACTACCGTCCAATCATCATCTCAGTGGTGATGCGTTTCCTGCAACAGATGACGGGGATAACACCCATCCTGGTCTACCTGGAGCCAATCTTTTCCCAAAGCAAAGTCTCCCTGGAGCCCAGGTTGGACATCTAATTGTATTCAACTATATATATTATTTATATATTTATCGATTTCTTCTCTTTTTTTGTCCCTTGGTTTGGTTTTTATTTCTTATGTAAAAGTTTGTTTACTAGATAATTAATGATTTATCTACCTATCCAGGTATCAAGCACTGTGAAAATCACTATTTATTAATTATTATTAATTATTTTTAACTTAAACTTGTTCTGTGTCTGTCAGGTATGATGCTGCCATTGTGGGAGCAGTCCGCCTCTTTTCTGTTGTCATCGCAGCCGTTTTAATGGACAGGGTGGGACGCAAAGCCCTGCTGTATACGTCAAGCATGCTGATGTTCCTGTCCACTCTAACTCTGACCATGATCTCCCACACCACAGCTTGCCCTCCAGGCCCCACCCCGCCTAATCTCACTGTGAGTTTGGACTACAGCTCCCATAGCGACACTGGATACACTGCACCAAGCATCCTCCCTCTCATCAGCACCATGGTGTTTATATTTGGTGAGTGTCCAGTAACGTCCACGATTTACCCAATCAAGGCCCCTAGTGGATTCATTGTAAAATTGATTGAATCAGGAACCCCTGACTTTAAATGTAGTGCCACCATCAGGTCAAAGTTTTTTGTTTGTCCAATACTTTGGTCTTTGACTACATTCCTGTAGTGTCAGCTGTAGTTTTGTGTTTAGTTCTAATCAACAAATGTTAGCATGCTGATGTTCAGCTAAATGCATAGCTCTTGTAAACTCTTGGTTTTTGGTTCATTTCAGTTTACACTGCCCAGGTTCAAGCAAACTACCACTTGTAAGAAAACACGTGCAAAACGTGTGCAGTTAGCTTGTTTGTTGGGATAAGATTTGATAACCTGTCAGGCATGTATTTAACGAAGCATGTGCTGTTTGGAGTTACCTTTTGTCTTGTTTCAACACGTTTAGACCTGTTATGTCCTCAGGTCATTTTGTTGCATTTGAAGCTCTTGAGGCATTAATAACCATTCTCTAATACATGCCAACGTCAATCTCCTCATGCTCATGAAACCTTGTGTTTTGGTTTGTGTAGTTTCATTGGTTTCAATTATATTGTCACGCCTTACTTAATTGGGAAAAAAATTCAGACATCACTGTGTGGTTATGGTGCTTTTTGGATTCAATGATATTGCTCTCACCTGTCCAAAATCAGAGCTAGAGGAGCTTTTTCTTACAACTTAGTTTGAGTCTAATAAACTCCTCTCAACATGGTGTGACCGTTCCCTAACAAAGCGCTGCACATGCGTTTTTTGTGCTTTATTGTATCATGACATCATCTGCTTTATTATGAACGGTTTGCTTTGTCATCACATTGTTGCTTGTCTCCTAGGATACGCCATGGGATGGGGCCCAATCACATGGTTGCTGATGTCAGAGGTGTTGCCGCTGGTTGCCAGGGGCGTGGCTTCAGGTCTGTGTGTGACTGTCAGCTGGTTGACTGCCTTTATGCTCACGCACGCCTTCACACACCTGGTGGACAGGTACGGCCTGTACGCGCCCTACCTGTGTTTTACGGTGGTGTGTGTGCTCTGCCTGCTGTTCAACGCCGTGTGCATCCCCGAGACTCGTGGCCGCTCACTGGAAGAGATTGAGAACTATTTCAGGACAGGACGTACGTTCACCATCAACCGGAGTCCCTCCACTGTACAGTCGAGATGAAACCTAATGATCCCTTTGATCAAATATTCAGTTGTTCCCATGGTGTACCTCTAAAACAGGGCAACTTTAAAGTGAATATAAGAATTAAGGGTGTCATGATAGAGGTTGTATGTTGAATAGAGTGTAAAGCTCAAATATTTACTGAGCACAGATGGACCAATGTAAGTCTAAGATGTACATAAAGATGTATATATACATGTTTCTTTTATTTCTTTTGAACTGATGTAAGACAATATGTACTCAGTCTATAGTCAGACTAACCTCACTGTGCCAGGTGGTTTGTTACACAGAACCATATGGGAATATGTTGTCGTAAACTGTTTGGAAAAGGGAAAGCACTTTCAAAAAATACTGGGCAGGTTATTGGATGAACCATCTGTCTATCACCGTCTAGTAAGAGTGAACCATATGACGTAGTAGTTATATATAACGAGCCCAACACTGATCATATATCACACACCTTAAACATAGTTTGGGTCAGTTTAACTTACTGATGTACACGCAATGTACACATATAGCAACACTGATTAAACTACCACAGCAGGGATTAAGTGCGTATGAACAACATCGATACCTCCCCCTTTTTCTGGTAAGCAACCATGGAGTTAGCAACAATAATGAACTCCAACATTAAAGCATTATACATAGTGTACTACAGTATGGGCAACCATGTACCAACAGAAGAAGACATTTTAGT